CCATCTATCTAGCTAGCTAGCTAGATAGATAGATAGAGAACAAACCTGCAATTGGCACGAACAACCTGATTCAGATTGTGATAGTTATAAAAACTGGCATAGAATGACTGAGAATGAGATAAATATAAAAAAAAAATGAGATACACTCCCTCCTAGAAAGATAAATAGAATTAGATTGAGATAGGTGCATATATTTCTAGTCTCAGCTGGTATTACGCACCCACGATCCCAACTGCTTGACCGATAGATGTGATTTATCTGACAAAATGACATGGCGCCAGCTTTCAACAGTTCATTGGCTATGTTCACTGGTTCAAGTGATGCTGTTTTATTAATAAGACTCTCCTTGATGGTTGACATCTACAAATCATCTTTGAATTCAATGGACACTATAAAGTGCATTGGCTGATAGTTTGAGCACCTCTAGCATTTAATTTGGACATGATATGGTGCTATGTTCGACTTCATTATGCGGTTAATATATTTGTCAGTCGCTCGTAGTTCAATATTTGCATCACTTATGCTGTCATAAATGATTTAGTATAATTCCACGATAATTTACTAATTTCTTCGAGATAGTAGCCACCCATTCTTACTCCATTATTGTTCAGGCAGTGTCAAATTCTGTTCGTCACAGCTACCATAGCACTTTACTTATTACACTAGGTTGCTTCTATTTTCATCATCATCATCATCAACTTCGATAGGTAGGATGAGGACTCATCACCAGTAACACCTGCGGGTGAATAATCCTAATCATCATCATTATCATCAAGTAGTCTGACTTTTTTTTACAGTTTCTGTTTTTTGACAGGCATGTTAGGACATAGTATGAGAAGCAAATTTATATAAAAAAAAATTATAATTTAAAATTAAATAAAACGAATAAATATAAATACATGTCATATTATAAGTACATAGACAAATTCGAAATATGAGTTGAGGAAAAAACCGTTATGTGAAACAGAAAGTTGAAAAGATTAAAGTAGACGACAGGGATTACTAGAAACATTGTAATGCGTCATATAAATTTTGAGTATTAATAGATAGATGAGAGTGATGGCTGGGGTAGGCAAAGACGAATCATGGGAGATGAATGAATCTGTCGAGATTTAACAACATAAACAAAATCATCATGATCATTATCACCGTCATCATCATGATCATCATGTCGTAGGTTCGTTGTACACTGGTTTGAAATCAAAAAGAAAGGAAAGCAGATTTAGCAAAAGATTTCTTCGTTCGGATTATAATCGCAGTCATGTCAGACTAGACAGAAAAATGGGAAGGTAATATCGAGAGATTAATTATTTATAAAACCGGTTCATAATCCTTCCCGGTCTTTTGAACAGGAGTAAAGGTTTATCCATTATTTCCCTTTAAGGATAGGGTTTCCGGTTCCTTCTAAAATCATCTCATTCTCTTTCACTCCCAGTAGCCCCTTGCATCTTAGTGGCATTATCGACTTGTTTGGGCTGAACTGATTAAAAAAATATATACTTGGTTTGATTTTGGGCAAATATGGAAAGATCTCTTTTTAATAAGAGTGAGAACGCAATGAGTGATCAAATGCTTTTTGTTGCTTTTTTTGATAGGCATGTTAGCCACTATTATGTGTAGCAAATTTATTAAAAAAATAATTATTATCATTTAAAATTAAATAATTAAATCTAAATAAATCTTATATTATAAGTACACAGACAAATACGAAATATGAGACAAGGGAAAAACGATATGTGAAACAGAAAGTTGAAGAGATTAAAGTAGACTGCAAAGATTACTAGAATTATTGTAATGCGTCATATAAATTTTGAGTAATATTAGATAAGAGAGATGGTAGGTGGTGGGGGCAAATAAGAAACATGAGAGATAAATGAATCTGTCGGGATTTACCAAGATAAACAAAATCATCATGATCACCATCACCGACGTCATCATAATCATCATTTCCATGACCGTCGTTGGTCGTAGGTTCGTTGTACAGTTGATTACCTGACAAGTTCCTTCTATATATCTGTATTGAAAGATGGCGTGGGTATTCGTTCTTGCGGAGCGTGTCTTAGGCGAGCAGACATGGTGGAACCCATCCTTCTCCAGGTCAGACCACAGCCGATATCTGCGTCTAACAAATAATAAAAACGCGCCATCATCACTGGAAAGAGAAATGCACGGAATATGTTAAACAGATATCCATTGGTCTTTATCGATCCGAGAGTGGAACAAGATAAGATATATCATGGAAGTGATTTAAAGACGAAAGTGAATATAAGCTGGATTCAAAAAGAAAGGAAAGCAGATGTAGCAAAAGATTTGGCCATTCGGATAATAACTGCAATTATGTCAGACTGGGCAGGAAAATGGGAAGGTAAAATGGTGTTGTAGAGTAGTTTTCACAGTGGAGGTTAGTATTTCACTAAGTCGGTCCTAAAAGAGGTTCGACGTACAAAACTTTAGGAAGTTGAAATAAAAGTTAATGACGCAACAATCTAGTTGTGGTGGTTGATACTTTAATGTCCGACATCGACTGACACACCAACTCCACTGAACCCTGGCGACTGCTACTACTACTACTTATTATCTGTGGGAGAGTCTATTAATAATAGAATAGGTATGCTCTAGTATAACAAATGGAAAGATGTATTATTGATAAAACCGGTTCATACTCCTCCCCAGTCTTTTGATCAGGAGTAAAGGTTTATCCATTGTTAACTTTTAAGGATAAGGTTTCCGGTTCTTTCTAAAGTCACTTCATTCTCTTTCACTCTCAGTAGCCCCTTGCATCTTAGTGGTAGTAGCAGCTTGTTTGGGCTGAACTGATTAAAAAAAACAAATACTTGATTCGGGATTGAGTGAATTTAGAAAGACTTCTTCTTTCCAGGAGCGGACACGCAATGGTAGATCAAATACTCTGAATTTCTTTTTCTGTTTTTTTTTTTTTTTTTTTTTTTGTATCGGCACTTTAGCAACTATTATATGTAGCAAATTCATAAAAAAATAACTATTATCATTTAAAATTAAATAAAACAAATAAATCTAAATAAATGTCATATTAGAAGTATGCAGACGAATACGAAATATGAGTTGAGGGAAAAAATGATAAATGAAAAACATCAAAGTAAACGGGAAGGATTACTAGAATTATTGTAATGCGCCATATAAAATTTGAGTAATAGTAGGAAATAGAGAGAGATAGTAAGAGCAAAGAAGGGAGATAACTGGAATCTGTCAGGATTTGACAACGCAGACGATGTCCTCATCGATTGTCTGTCGTATTCGACGATTGTTTTTTAATCAATTCACGCCAAACAAGGCAGTAAAAACACTAAGGCAAAGAGTAATAAAAAAGAGAATCATTATTAAACGAAGAGGAATCAAGATGACAGTAGATAACGATTGACATTGCATTAACATTTTTGAAAAACAAAGCTGGCTGGAAAGGATAGTTAGAAGAGTATTCCACAAGCAAGAAAAGCGAGAGAAGAAATTCTCACGCTAGAACTTACGATTGCATCCAGAAAATCCAACTGTAAATTGATGAGAACTTGTTACCCATCGAGTAGTACGTTTATTTCATAAAATTCATCAGAAAAATCACCATTAATGTCTTCATAGAAAATGCACACGAATGATATATTGCAGCTCTGAGAAAGTGACTACAGTGCAGATGTCACTATCAATAATACTGCGGGTTCTTCTTTGGTTTGGTTTGTTTCTTTAACGGCATATCAACACTTTATGGGTTATTTAATACCGACAGTTGCACATATCGATCCTTACAGGGAGAGGAGTAAATTCCCATAAACTTAACCCCATTCATGTCGTTAGTTTTAATAGAAAAGGGCGTATGGCAAGTACGTCTCTTCTCACCGGACCTATTTAACCTATACAGCGAGGCAATTCTGAGAGAACTGTTAATCCTTGGCGGCTACAATCTTCACAACGTAGGTTACGCAGATAACGCAGTGCTGATAGCAGACACGGAAAGGACATTACAAAACCTTCTACAGAATGTAGTCAACGAGAGAGAGAAGAAAAGACTAATCCCCCACTATGTCAATATGTGGTTTATACAGCAACTCTGCTGAGCAGACCTTAGTTACAGTTTCTGGAAGAAAGCGTGTTATCTAGCGTAATCAACAATCTGAAAAAAGATAACAGACTCAAACCATGTTACGATGACTTGTGAATTCATGCATTATCTGGTTTGATCAGCATAGTATATGTGCATTTTACACTTTTATTTTTTGGTTAAATGCAAGAGACCCACGGAAACTATAAGTTCTTTGTTGCCTCATTGTGTCAATTTGTGTATATTTGTTTGAAAAATGGAAAGCAATGGCTCTATTTCTTACTAAATCTAATAGTTCCCCCATTATTATTTCTAACAGTCATAGCGTTAATTCATTCTGTGATGCTATTACTGGTGGTAACAACAGGGAAAATGCTTATATAAAACCAGTAGCGTTCAGCAATAACTCTTGCATTTTGTTGACACTTTAGATATTTGTGAATGCATTTGGCGCCACGCATGGCGTCTATATGAAACGAGGAATGAAAGTAGGCAAAAAAAAAAGAGTTTGCGAAAAGACAAGAAAACAAAAAGCACAATCAAGTGAAGTGAAATTGAGAAGGAAAATAAAACAGTTTGAGATTATTGTGAATAGAAGACCATCGAACAAAAGTCATTCAATAACTAAAGTGAATAGGATGTCTGCGAAAAAGTTAAAAAGAAATCAAAGAGATTTAATATTGCATTTAGGTTAAATATTGTTAGAAGTGTATGAAGGACAAAATGGCTGACGCGGAACAGTCATAAAAAAGCTTCCTTTTTTATCACATATCATTTTCTGAAGATAAGATTCAAATTTATTTTGAAAATGAAAACTTTTGATCGACGATAAGATAATGGTCATTTCAAGAGAGACAAGACGGTTTCTCTCTAACTAACTAGACAAAAACAGACGCAAACATATATAATACATATGCAAACACATACACAGACACACACATATATATTTTTATATACACATACGTATACACACATATCTATCTATCTATCTATCTATCTATCTATCTATCTATCTATCGCGCCCGGCCACATCATGTTAAAACACCCGATCACCGAAGTTAAGCAACATCGAGCCTGTTCAGTTAAGTTGATGGGTGACTCCTGTTGACCATGTTTGCCGTAGTCTCTGAATATGGAATCCAGTGAAGTCCTTAATCTCTTCAATATCAAAGGTTGGTAATGTAGATTCGGAGAAAGTAGCGGCTGTTAAGTAATTATTTAAGTCTTCGATATCAGGTTGCCAGTGGAGATATTTTGGGAGAAAAAACAAAATGGCTGCCTTTATACACGTCGCATTGAATATTTTGAGCTTTCTGATTGGTTAACCCTTCTATTGGTGAACTATAAAATGAGTCAGCTCATTTTGACTGGCTCACTAGTACACATATATAAAAAAAAACTGCAACAAACTCCTTGTGTATGCCACGCCCTCTATGCTTGGATGTGCGGTTGGTGTAATGGATAATGGTTCGTAATTATTAATCAGAGAGTCGAGTTACAATTCCCTAAGTGTTCACTTTTACGTGCTAATACCCACTTCTCCCCTCAGCTATGGTCTAATGAGTATGACTTGTATTAAAAAATAATTATTACCTACCTTTACTCGAGGTCTGCATTGACATGCCTGGCCTATAAACTATCCTCATAAAAGTGGAAGTTTTTGCAAATGGTCTTATATTTCTTTCTTTTCCGTTGCATTCCTATTCATTCTTACAGACATCCGCACGCACACACCTTAGAAATCTTTTACCAAAAATCGTTACGTCACATTATATACCCTTTAACCCGCATGTACTTACAAACGAAATTATATATTTGTTTATTATGTTAAGAATTTTCCCTGTTTCAAGATGCATTATGAGGAAATGCTACTTTAGAGATTGCTTCAAAAGATGACGATAATGATAGTTACAAATTCTACATTCAAGCTGAAACATATTGATGTATTTGCATCGAATTCTGTTAATTCTATTCAGTCTTTTTTTTTTTTTTTGGAAGACGTCTGGTATGGTAAAACGGATATTTGGTGCCTTGGAAATCTTTTACCAACATTCATTACATCAGGTTATGTGCACCGTAAACTGCATGCACTTCTGCAAAATCAGTTTTGTTAGTTCTATCTTTTTGTGTGAGACATCTTGCATGGAAGAACATATATTTTTGGCAGAGGAGTCTTTTACGAAAATACGTTAGGTCCTGTCATGAGTACTGAGATCCACAGGTACTTCAGCCATATCATTTCTGTTAATTGTATTCAATCTTTTGCAGCAGGCATCTAGTATTGAAACACATATATTGTACCATGGAAATCTTTTACGAAAATTCATTACGTCACATTATGTACACTTTAATAGGCATGTACTCCAGCAAAATCAGTTCTCTTTATTCAAGTCAACATTTTTGTAGGTGAAGTCTTGTATGGAAGAATATATATTTCCTGCCTTGGGAAATTTTTACTAAAATTCGATAGGTTCAGTCATGAGTACCACGATCCACATGTACTTCAGCCATATCATTTCTATTAATTCTATTCAATCTTTTTGTGGAAAACATCTTGTATGAAAAATCAGATATCTTTTACCGAAATTCGTTAAGTTCTGTTATAAGTACCATGATCCAGATATACTTTAGCCATATCACTTCTCTTAATTCTATTCAATCATTTTGTTGGACATATCTTGTATGGATAACATATATTTCGTATCTTGGAAATCTTTTAACAAAATTCTTTACGCCACGTTATGTGCACTGCAACCAACATGTACTACAACAAAACCATTTCGGTTAATTCTGTTCAATCTTTCTATGGGAGACATCTTGCATGGACGAACAGATATTTCGTGCCCTGAAAATTTTTCAACCCAAATTAGTTACGTCCTGTCATAAGTAACTTAACTGACATTTACCCCAGCCATATCAGTTCTGTTAATTCTATTCAGTCTTTTTGTCGGTAACCTCTGGTACGAAAAACATATATTTCGTTACCTCACATTATGAGTACTGTAACCCATAAGCAATTCAGCAGTGGTGAATTTAGGTATAGATAGATCAACGAAAGTCAACCCTCCTCCAAACTGATTTTGAATTCACAGTTTTCTTTCTCGTCCTTCGTTTTCCACCCCAAGGCAGAAAAAATACCTGCAATTGGCTTGGGAAAAAAAAGAAGTATTGATAGCTTTCCCAAGACTAAATGCGCTAACGCGAATGCAATGAACACGTCCGAAATTCGAACGCGGTTCTTGAATTCGTCTTTCCAAAATCACTAACAGTCAATCTACGCCGACACATTTTATTCAAGGTAAAAGAAATCAAATATTTCGTAGGAAATCATTTTCCCCGATTACATTTAAATGAGATTGACGAGAAAGATTCCCCCAAAGACATGGCACATGGAGGAATTTACTTGAAGGTTCTGAAAGCATCTATGTGAATGTTCTGAAATCAACTGCTGTAACATCGCAGGCAATTAACTCGTTTCAGGTGACAACGGCGTGGGATATTACGTTGCTTCATATTTATATATTAAATAACTTTTTCCGCCTTCCAAAATGCATTTCGGCATTACCAAGTGGCGCTACGTGTGTCACGAGCTAAAGGATATTTATTAACTCACCAGATTTAATATACCAGCAGATTAAAAAAGACAGAG